CAACATATACTGTCCCACATCGGTTGCCCACATGATACTCCACCTCATGGCTTGAACCACGTCGGCTGCGCCACATGTTGTGCGCACCATATGCTGCCCCACATCGATTGCGCAACAATATTATCCTTTCTAGAAAAATGATACACAAATCCTATACCCCACCCGACTTAATCGGTACACTTATTGTGTTTCAATTAACATACGATTCTGCCCCATCGTCCATTCTTAACCTGAACCATCCCAGCCCGGCCGGGTTCGACCCCCACCTCCGCCATCCTCTGCAACAAATCATCATGCGCGCGCGCCCGTTTATAACAAACAATAAGTTTTCAAACGCCCCTTGCAAACAAAGGGGCGATGATCACACGCGCGCGCCGTCGTGTGCGCATGCCAATGGCCTTCAACAACCTTTGGTTTCGGAGCGATGTCAAAATCGGCGGCCAAACAATTAGTAAACCATATGATTTCGCAACACGGATATTCGAACAAAAACGCGCGCGCCTGCGATTACATATATACACACTATGAGAGTATATATCTGTATAAACAAAAAACCGGCTCAAAACATACGACCAAACGGGCTTCGCGCGCGCATGTCGGAATCGTTCGAACGCCCTTGCGCGCGTGCCGTCGCGAAAATATGTTGCAAAAGTGGGACGACGTGCGCACGCGCGCGTCGTCGCGCGCGCATGCCGAAATCCTTCGACAATCTTTGGTTTCGTAGCGACTTCAAGCCCGAATGCCAAAACAACGTTCAAACACACACGGTTTCGCAACATCAGTTTTCTGGAAAAGCTTGCGCGCGCGCTCTTGCGAATTCTTGAGAAAACCACAGGTGTTGCAACATCTTCATTGAATTCTGCCAAACGCGCCTCAAGCGCGGCGTGCCGACAACTTTCGCGCGCCCTCACGCGCGTGCCTGGGGGGGCACGGCCCAGGTCAAGTCAAACCGTGCGGGCCGCTCTCGCGCGTCGTCCGCGCGCGCATGTCGAACTCTGTCCAAAACTTTCGTCACCGACGCGAGGACGCCGTCATCGTCGCCGGCGTGATCAGCATCGGCGTCCGCACTGGCCGCGCCGTCGTCGGTGCGAGCATCGTCACCAGCGTCGCCAGTAGCATCATCGTGTCTACAGTTGTCGGCGTTGCCATGATACCGCGCCCGCCCAAGTCGCCGACTCGCAATGAAGTGCCCGCTGGGATGCGCCCAGCGGTCAGCGCCACCGCGGCCGCGTCGGTGGCGCCAAACTAGCTGGCCGCTGCGCGCGCGTGCTAGGGTTGGCGCGGCCGCAGAGATGCACCAGCCAACGCCAAGCATGCATCGCAATCGCCACCGCATGGGTTTTGCAAACCAAGTTGCGGGTGGGTGGGTGAGATGTTTGCAAGAGCATGGGACGTGTCAGCTCGCTTTGTTTTTTGTGTAAAAATCAATTGCGCAGCATAAATTGCACCACGTGGGTTTCACGACTTACATGGTTCACATCGTTCGCACAACATACATGGCTCGAAACGAACAGTTTTGGGCCCACGCTGGCTAACACGGATATGGACATGTAATGAGTGAGAGAGAGAGAGAGAGAAAAAACAAGAGAGAGAAAGAGAGAGAGAGAGCGAGAGAGAAACAGAGAGAGAGAGAGAGAGAAAGAGAGGGCGAGAAAGACAGAGAGAGAGAGATAACTAAGGAAAGAGAAATAGGGAGAGAGAGAGAGAGAGAGCGATATAATGTATATATATGTATACATATACATGTATATATATATATTATATATATGTATACATATATATATATATATATATATATATATATATATATAGGTATATATATATATATATATCGAAAGAGAGAGTAGAGAGAGAGGGGGAGATGACAGAGGAGAGAAAGAGAGAGAAGGAGCTAGAGAGAGCGATCTTTATATACAGATATACATACATATATATATAGAGAGAGAGAGAGACGAAACGAAACATTAAATTTTAGAGAGATAAAAAGACAACTTAATCCAGAAATGACGCACGATGAGGAACGGGAAGGGAGAGACGAACTCTTTAGGACTGAAGGCCGCCTGCCTTCCTTTCAGGTTGCCGTTGGGGGGAGCGGCTTTCAACCACATGGTGTGCCAGGCGCGTGCGTTCCCTCGCCAAGGGGCCTCTTCCTGATGTGCATCTCGAGGCGCCGAGGAATAGGAGTTGGAGGCGGAGGTGGGAAGGAGGGAGAGGAAGGAGGAAACATGCTTTTGGCGATTAGGGTGCGGTGGAGTGATGATCTTGGGGCTTCCAAGGGATTCTGAGGATTCTAGGGGGATGGGGGGTGGTAAGGGGATTAAAAGCCGATCAATTTCGGGGAGCAGACTTTCTCGATGCTCGGCGCTAGGTTCCGAAGCCAATGAGATGAGAAGTTTGGCCAAACAGACCAAATAACAAATAAACTGCCCCCTCCCCCGTCCCCTCTTCCGAACCGTACAAGTCGACTCCGGCACGCCCCAGTGACAAGGGCGGCGGCGGCGGCGGCCCAAGCTTGCAAAAAGGAGGCGGGCTGACCGGCGTCATGTCGCACAACGCTCCCAGCACCTGCATGGCCAAGTCGGGTTTCGACTTCCGCCGCCCAGTGCGTGGAAACATCGGGTCCAGATAAACCTTGGCAGGCAGGAGGGGCACGTGGTGGCAATATATCAGTGCTCAGCGACTGCTCGCTTCGTTAACTGAGCGACTGAGGAACTAGGATCTTGCGCACGAGGGCGCAGCGACCTCATTTCACGGCTCAGACAAGCCGCTAGCGCGGAACGCCGCTTGGAGAGAGGGCGCTCCGGCGCGACCTTACGCGGGCAGCTCACGCGCGAGTGTCCGCGCAATCGACCCCCCTCCTGGTGACGCTGAGATCTGAGATACCTCCCCTCCGCCCTGCTGAAGAAACTACAGTGGACACATGCGGCAAGACATCGTCCTATAAGACATCTAAGGGCACGTCCTGTGTCGTCCCTGAGCGGGTCCATCGAGAGAGAAGAAAGTATCGTGGGGTGCACCATTTTGTCGAAAGAGCGCCTCGAGTTCAAATCATGAGCTGGATAAGCATCCCCCACTGGCATGCAACCAACTTCGGGGAGGTCTTTTTGATCAGCGAATCGCGGCGGCGGCTCCGCGGCGAGGCACGCCTATTGGAGCCCGCAGGGGCAAGAACACAACGGTGGGTCCAGCTCGTCGTTCTTTGCCTCATCCTCTTCGTCGTCGTCTGCTTCCTCCCCATCGCCTCCACCTCCAGCTTGTTCTCTTCCTCCTCCTGCCCCTCGTTCGCTTCCCCTCCTCCAACCCGCCCTGTCCTGCCTCCCTCTTGTCTGTCGTCTTTCTCGTTGTCGCCATCCGCTTCGTCCTCACCCCCCTCCTCCAGCCTCCAACTCGTCCTCCTTCCTGTCCGCCCCTTCTCCTCCTCCTCCTCCGCCTAGCATGAAAAAACTGGCTCTGGTGGAAGCCGGTCCTGGTCTTGAGATGGCGACGAACGAAATGAGGACGATGCCTGACAGCAAACGTCATCCCAATTCATGAGCGGCCGCAATTCTGCAGGCACGCGACGCTTTGTCCCTGATGGGCAGCGTCCGCGGCGGCATCGACAACGAACCTGGCCCAAAGTGTGTAAAACAAACTACTGATTGTCGTCGTCTTCATTCTTTCCGCCTTAATCTCGATTCCTCGTGTGCTGTTTGTTCGCAGGAGCCGCGGCAGTTTCAAGACTTTCTCATGGATTATGTCGTGTGCTGCATTTTGTGGATGCGTCCTCCTCTGAGGTTCCTGGGGCCCGGCGGGGACTCCCAGGAGCCAAAAGTCGGGAAAAGCCGTCCGTGGAGGTCCGAGTTCTCCTCACAAAGACTTTTTGCCTACGTGGACTTACATGTGATGTAAGCGCGGCCCTCTGCGGGGCCTCTGAAGCAAATCGCAACGGAAGTTGGGCGCGCTGCTGCAATTCCGTTCACCCCGGCTGCGCTAAACAAAATATGAACGCACTTATCTTGCCAAGAACTCAATTCAGAAAGATTTTCGCATGATAAGGGGCATCCCGGATGGGATCCGAGTAGATGGGGTCGGAGGTTCGCGCCGCATCATTGATGCATGCGTTGGCGACGTCGGCGGTGCATCGGCGACGCCAGCGCGGATCAAATCAGGCTCCACATCGAGCCCCACGTCGGCGATGCATCGGCGATGCGGCGCGATCCTCCCACGCCGTCTACTCGAACCCCACTTGGGTCTAGAACGGTGCTCAAGGACTGCGGGCGGGAACGATGTCGGTCTGGCCGTCGCGCAGGGACGGCAAGACTTCCTCGGCCGCACCTCGGGGGGGGAGGGCTCTAAGGCGCAGGCAGGCGCGGTGCCTGGAGCCTCCTCGCCGTCATCACGACGACGACGACGAGGACGACGACGACGGCGACAACCAAGACGACGACGATGACGACGGCGACGATGACGACGACCACGACGAAGGCGGCGGCGCGACGATGACGACGACTGCGACGACGACGTTGTCGCCGACGGCGCTGTTGTCACGACATGTCGCCGCCGTCGCTGTCGCCGCCATCATCGCCGCTATCGTCTCTGCCATCGTCGTCGATTGCTGGTCGAGGACTGACGGTCGATCGGGCCAAAGGTGTTCCCCGATTTCGGCCTCCATAGGGCCATCTTCGGGCCGCGCGGAGCCCTCAGAGACGGATCCAGGGCGGGAGAACTGTCCCCGAGGAGGTCGCCGTCGTCGCTCTCGCCATCCTCGTCTTCTTCGTCGCCACCCTCGTCGGCGCCCTCGTCGCCCTCGTCGCCGCCCGTCGCCGTGCGGATATTTCTGGCGCCTTCCTCCCGTCTCGGGCCTGACGGGGCGCCCTGGCCGACACCGGCAGGCCTCGCCCCGAGGTCCTGGTCCGAGCGCGCCGCGGGGCATGCCCGTGCTCCAGTTTCGAAGATCTCCTCGTCGCCCTCATCGCCGTCGCCGCCGTCATGGTGCACAGACCCCCGAGGGGGGTCGACGGGGGGGAGCTGGCTCAGGGGCTCCCCCTCCCCCTGGGCCGACCCCCACCCTGTCGTTTCCCCTGATGCCCCTGGCGACCAAAGAAAACCACGACGGCTGGTTTTCCGAGGTTTGTTCGCCTCAGGAGGCCCGCTTGAGGCCTCGGGGGCCAACCCGATCGTGGGGACGAGGGCTCTCCAAGACTGGCAACGGCATCGGGAACTTTTCCTCTCCTGACGCTTCCTTCCGTGAGGGGACGTTCGGGTCTTGTTCCCAAGATCCGTCAGGCGCCTGAAAACGGAAGGGTTGCTGCATCTCGTTCTCTTCCTTCTCGCCGCCCTACTCCTCGTCCTCCTCCACTTCCGTTGCCATACTCAGCACGCTCGCTGCTTCACCCAATCCTCTCCGATTCACTCTACTGCCAACGCGCCTCTCACATGCACGGCTTCTTGTTTGCTTGCTTGGCGTTTGCTGCGAAAACCTGCCGCAGCGAGGCGGCGAGGCGGGCCTCGCCTCGCTTGGGGGCACTTCGTGTCGAAGGATGCGTTGGAAGTTGCCAGCTCCCGCGTGGACTCGCTGACTGCTTCAGCCAAGACGGCGGTGCAACTCGCGAGTGGGAGCCACGATACGGACAACGAGCCCGTATGATGAGGATGCACCGTAAGGATGCAAGGGCCTTGGACGGCCATGGCGACACCTTGCGAGCGGGGCGCGGCCGGCGACAGCGGCCAAGGATGGGCCGACGGGGCAGGGATGCAAGGGCAGCCTTGGAATGTCGCTCAGCTTGCGGGTTGGCTGCAGTTCAGGCTTGGCCACGGTGCTGACGGCCCCTCTCTGCTCACGCGCAGCCTGGTGAAAGGCCTGGGCCACCCGAGGCTCCCCGAGGCATGCGGGCTCGCGGCGGTCACGAGGGCCTTTCAGACCGCCCCGCGGGGGGCCCCAAGACGGCCCGCGCGAGAGGCGAGGACCTGCCGGCAACGCAAGGGCCTTGGGAGGCCACGTCTGCACTGCCAGCGAAAGCGGCCAAGGATGGGCCGAAGGGGAAGGCTGCAAGGGTAACCTTGGAAAGTCGCTCAGCCTTGCGATGCGAGTTGACTGTACTGCAAGTTGAGCCTCGCCAGCTGTTCGTCGACATCGCCTCGCCTCGAGTCGATGCCTCGATCAGCGCAGATCGAGGCCTCGCCGAACCTTCCGGTATCAACGCCATGCCTCAGGCGCCGCTTTCCCTGGTGGGGACCTCCCCAGGCCTCCAACGCATTGGCAAAACCAGGGGCCTCTGAGGGCCCTTGCTGGGCCCGGGACCGCCAACACACGGCTCGGAATGAAAAAGCGGCCCCGGGGAAAGGGTTGGGACTCAGGGGATGAACGAAAATCAAATCATCTGATGTCTGGGTCGCCCCTGCTGCCCCCCCCAAACAAGCTGGTCCGCCTGGGGACACATGTTTGTACACCAGCCGCACACACGAGCGGGTCCGCAGCGAGGTGCGCGCACCAATCGGGCGGTGGCCCGTTTGGCCACCATTTGATGGATGTTGGCACAAGGCTAAAACCGGGTGAGCCTAGCCCGAATAACTTCGCGCTCTCGCGTCGCCCCCCAAGGGAGCAGAGGAGGATCAGGAGGAAGCGGAGCCGAACCGCGAAGCGCGAAGAGGTTCGCTCCCTCGAGGGCGCCCCTGCGTCCTAGCCCCGTCCAGAGATCAGCCGCCGACGTGGGGGAGGGACAGCCCTCCGGCACGCAGCGCGGGGCGCGGGGCGAGGACCAACCACCCTCGCGCCTCCGCGGGCGGCCCGGGGGGCAACCTGGCGGCCCGCGCGGGGGCACCCGCGCACATCGAGGGAGAGGCGCCCAGCGGCGGGGCCGAAGCCAGCCGCATGCCGCAGCATGTCACGCCCCTCCGCCCTTCCCTCGCTGCCGTTGCCCGCAGAATTTGCAGAACGCGTCGTAGCGGCAGGGGCGTGCGCGCACTTCACTGTGGGCATCTTGGCCCAGAGCGCTAAAGCGACGAGGCCAGACCGAGGTTCACTGAACTCCTCGGGGGCCAATGCCACGTTGAAAACATGGTCTCATTTTATCGTGTTCGCGCCCCTCCGCCCTGCCCTTGCTGCCGTTGTCCCCGGGCGGCCTGCGGCCACCCTGCGGCCGTGCGCCCGCGCAGAGCGAGGAGACGGCGCAGGAACGAGGCGGTCTGACGCTCCCTGCCCGTGGAGATGGTGCCGCTGGGGTGCTCGAGCTGCTTCACAGCGTTCGGCTGCTGTCGCGTCGGCGCCACTTGTCCCCGCCCGTGCACCTGTGACGTGCACGGCATCTTCTTCTCCCTCCTTCCCTGCAGTCGACGCGTATAACAAGGGTGCACGATAAGGATGCAGGGGCCTTGGAAGGCCATGTCGACACCTTGCGAGCGGGCCGCGGCCCGCGACAGTGGCGAAGGATGGGCCGAAAGGGACGGACGCCAGGGTAATCTTTGAACGTCGCTTATCCTTACTATGCGCTGTGACTGTGTTCCCCCCCCCCCGTCGTCCGACACGAAAGAATCGGCGACGCGATCCCCCGACGAGGGAGGTCGCCAGGACGACTCGCCCTCGCGCCCCGCTCGCTCTGGAGGACCACGACGAAAGAATCGGGCACGCCGAAGAAGGGGGTCCAGGAACAGGGGGGCTAGCGCATCATGGCCTAATGCATGCACGCGGGCGACGAAGGGTCCAGGGGACGTGCTGAGGGAAGACGAGGGGGCCATGACATACCTGGGCCGTCATGGCCCATCAACCATATCCACACATCCTCAGTCCTCACCCCCAGACTTTCGTCTCACCGGGACAGACCCAAGATCCAGACATCTGGCGCTTCGACTCTCCTATGCGTGGGCCCCAACGCGGTGCGTTGACAGGCTCTGCAATCTCCGCAGAGACCTCACCGCAAGGTTTTGGGACCCTGGAGGCCCCGATTGCCCGATACATCCTCGGATAACAACCCAGGTCCCAAACCCGTGCGGCCACCCACCCGAATGTTTTGCTTTTGGGCCGCAGCTCGGGTCTCCAGCGGCCGTTCGGGACGACCTGGTACACCCGCAACGCTCTCGGCGAGGCGCAGCTGAAACGCATCCCGAGGCAGGAAAGCCCTCGGGAACCGACGACCAGTTCCGAAGACCTCGAACCTCCACGGACTCACCACACGGCGTGGTCGCCGCACCCTTTGGGGGGAGCTCCCCCGAGAGAGAAGGGCCGTCGAAGGGCCGCGAGAGCAGCCCAAGACGTCCGAGGATGTGTTTTTCTTCCATGCGCGGCCCCGCAGGCCCCGTTACTCCTTCCCCAGGGCTAGTTAGTTTGGCGTCCCGGATGCATGTTTGATGGCCCCGGGGCCCACGAGTGGCCCCTGAAGGGCGAAATCGACAACAAAAACACTGCCGACCAGCAACGTCACACCTATACGGCCACCCTTCGGGTGATGAGAAGTCTCGGGGGGGGGAGGGATGAGGAACTTAAGTCCCACTCAATCGATCTCGCTATCGATCTCGCTATCGATCTCACGATCGATCTCACTGCCATCCTCGATCTTACCATCGATCTCCCCTATCGATCTCGCTATCGATATTATCATCGATCTCTCTGTCAATCTCATTATCGATATGACTATCGGCCTCACTATCGATCTCACTATCGTTCGCACTACGGGACAACGACGGGACAACGACGGGACACCACGGCGGGACAACCCGGCTTTCGCCCGCCCACTGGGGGAGGTTCGGACAATTGTCTTGCCGCGTCCTAGCAACAACGAAGTCATTCCTCTCGCCCGCCGACGCAGTTTCGCCCCGCCGGCACACACGACACGAACCAGAAACCGATTTCTCGGTGGGGGGATCTCCGTTCCACTTCGATCTCAATCCCCGACCTCCGATCCTCGGACAGCTGGGGTTTGGGGCCTCCTGGAGAGAAGGGCCACCGAAGGGCCTTGGCAGACGCCGCCCAGGCTCGCGCCTGCCAAGACCGCACACGTCCTTACATGCACTCACAGATGAGGCCCCGCTCGAGACATCCTCACGATTTGCCACCCTGGGATGCTCAAGTGCTATGCCTGGTAACATATCCCGATGACCCGCCCGGATTACTAATATGAAGTGCGGGCCCCATAGGGAGGGGGCTCCCGCCTGAGACTTCCTTGCAATTCACCCTCGAACGAGGCCCCCGCTCGAGAAATCCTCACGATTTGCCCCCTTGGGGTGCTCAAGTTCTATGCCTCGTCGAGTATCTCGATGACCCGCTCGGATTACCAACATGAGGTGCGGGCCCCATAGGGAGGAGGGTCCAGCTTGAGACTTTCCCCAAGGTGAATCTGTGAGTGTGTGAGTGTATTGTGATGGCGGGTGATGAAGAGTGGTGCTGATGAGTGAGTGTGTGGCGGCGGGTTAGTGCATGATGATGACGATGACGACGGCGATGCTTATGATTGTGATGGTGGTGGGGGTGTGCTCCTGCGCGGGGTGTCCAGAGAAAACAAGACACCCTAGGACGTGGGAAAAAGGCTAGGCCAGGATCTCAAGGCCAGGATCTCAGGGCAGTGGGGCCCCCAAAAACAGAACGGCCACTGCAGGGCCTCCGCAAAGGCCGCCCGGGCGCGCGTGCGCCTCGGAGCACCGGGCTTCCAAAGTCGGAGGTGGGAAGAGCAGGGAGTGGGGGGCAGGAGGTGGAGGTGGAGGACGGAGGACGAGGGAGGAACCGGAGATCCGACGGCGCGGAGAATCGAGACATCGGTAACCAACGCGACCAAAGCCCTAGACCCCATCCCTCTGCAACATCCTTCGATGCGGCTCGATCAGTGAGGGCCCTGGGGCCCGATACCTGACGCGTACGCCCCGCTCGAAAAATTTGACGCGCCAGGATCTCAGGGGAGGAGGGGAGGGGAAGAAAGGCCGCTGCAAGGCCTCCGCGGGGGCCGCCCAGGTGCGCGCGCGCACGCGCGCCTCGCAGCACTGGGCCGCTGAAGACGGTCTCCTGCTGGGGCGGCGCCGCGCGGCGAGCGGCATCCTGGCGCGGATGCCGTCGCGGCGAAGGCGGGCTGTTCGGCTGCTCTCGTCGGACCTGCAGGATCCACCGGTAGCAAGGCGAAACCCGAAATCGTCCGAGGCGAAACCCCAAAACCAATCACGAAACCCAGAAAATCAGAAGGAAACGAAATCCGAAAATCTCCCCGCAGGCGAAACCCGAAACTCCGACAGAACCCCAGCCCGAAAAACTCAGAGGGGCGAAGCCCGAAACTCCAGTTCGGACCCGTCCTCCTTCCGATCCTCCCACCTTCCCCTCCCTCCTCCCTCCTCCTCCTCCTGCCTCTTGCCTCCTCTCCCTTCTCCTCCCTGCTCCCTCCTGCCTCCTCCCTCCTTCCTCTCTCTCCTCCTTATCCTCTCATCCTCCTCTTCTTGCTCCATCCGCCCTCCTCCCTCATGCCTTCTCCCCACTCCCCCCCCTCCCTCCTCGTTGCGCCCTCGTCTTCCCTCCTCCCTCGTCCCTCTACTCGGTACGCGGCAACTCCTGCGTGGAGAAAGTTGAAACTATTCTACTGTACTCGCCATTTGGCGAACGCCTGGGGGGCGAACAAATGTGCTACTCCACTCTCCTCGCGACGTGGCAATCATAATATCCACGCGAATTGCCAGGAAGAATCGAACGGGGAACGACACGCAAACTACTCCACTCCACGACTGGCCACGCGGCAACGCCTGCGAGGCGGAACACATCCGCCATCGCGCCGCTGGGCACGGAGTGGGCGTGTCCTCAGGTCCTCTCACTACCCCTTCTGAGCCTCAGTCCTCAATTCTGAAGAATTCTTACCAAGAAGGCCCCACAACGGGCCAAGAGGACCCCAAGAAACCTCCAAGACGGTCCAAGAGGGCCCGGATCGCCGAACGGTCGCTCCAAGACGCCCGAGACGGCGCCCAGACGGCCCAAAATGCCTCAAAGACGACCAAAGAGGCCTCCAAGGTGTTTGAAGGATTTTGCCGTTCTCGACTTCTCGGTTTCGCGACGCTCCCAGACGGCCATAGAGGCCCCCCGAACCACCCCAATACGGCCCAACAGGCCACCAAAAACGGAACGGAACGGAGCGGAAGTCTGCGTGCCAGCTCCGGTAACCGGAGCGGTCCCCTAGAGGGCAGACCGTGCGCTGAGCATGTCGGAGAATGAATGTCGGCAACGAGCAGGAGGAGGAGGAGGAGGAGGAGGAGGAGGAGGAGGAGGAGGAGGAGGAGGAGGAGGAGGAGGAGGAGGAGGAGGAGGAGGAGGAGAGGAGAGGGGGGCAGCTAGCAGCGCGCCGCGGGCACGTCTACATTCAGTGTATCAGAACAAACACAATCTTATCATGTACGGAACGCGCCATCCCATCTCAAGCTGGGTCTGCCGACAGAGCGTTTGGCTACAGTTCTGAACCAAGGCGCCCAATCTAACAGTATTTTGTTCCATTTCTCTTCGGTGCCCAGGAAGAGCCGAGTAGCACAGTGCCATTTTCGTTCGGCCTGAAGTCCGCCCCAATCTTTGATGTTATAGTTGTTGCAATACTCATCGACTCGTAAAGTTGCACGTCGTATATAATCGACCCAACTTTCATCATCACCTCTCGCCACGCGGAACATGCTGCGTAGCATTTTTCTCCGGGCGGTTCTGAATCTAAGCAAGGTCGCGGTGCCCATTGTCCAACACTCGCACCCATGCAAAGCAGTTGGGGTCACCGCGCAACCAAATAGTCGCATTCGTTGCCGTAGAGGATACGTCTTCGAACGTAATACTTTCCGAAATTTCGCCACAAGATTCCCACGCCTGTGCCAATCGATTCGTGTACTCGACCTCGTGGTAGTGACCCAAAGATAACTGTATCCCCAAATATCTTTCTGATTTGTCTTGCTTCAAGATCTCAACGTCGTGTCCGGACAGCGAAATGGATGAGGCAACGTTCCTACTTGAATGTGTTAAAATCTTTGTTTTTCCCAAGGTGTACAGCTAGACCGTACTTCGCTGCCTCGTCCTTGAGGTCCCTCAACATCTTGACCACGTCCGCTTTGCTCTGGGCCAATAAGAGAACGTCGTCCGGAAACCTGAGATTTGTCAGAGGATCCGACACGGAGTCCACGACAAAACCGTAGTACTGCCCCGTCCTGCGAAAGTTCAGGTTGTTCCACCTTTTCTGCAGGCTGCGAAAACATTTCCATTGCTGCAATAAATAACACAGCGGATTTTGGGTCACCTTGTTTCACGCCACGTGATATACCACATGTCCTTGACTTTGTTCCCGCCAAGACTACTGCCTCTTGATCTCGGTGAAGCTTTTTGAGCAAAGTGATATAATTGAGCCCAACTCCCAAGTCAGCCAATACCTTCCAAAGCGCAGAATGTTCGACTGTGTCAAATGCTTTTTCAAAGTCTACTAACGCAACCCACAACATTTGATTCCATTCAGCACAGCCCTCTGAAAGTAAGGTCATGGCCATCATATGGTCCACTGTTGAATAACCTTTTCGGTGCGCAGCCTGGTCCGGAGACTGTTCTGAGATGATGATCGGCTGTAGCCTGTTGCGTAACATGCGCGCAAATAGTTTGTATAAAATTGGAAGGATCGCGATCGGCCTGTAGTTCTTCACAAGTAAGGGGCCTTTTTGGAATAATACAATCAGCCGCGTTTTCTTCCACGTCTCCGGTATTTCTGCGCTCGGGTCCAAGACGTCGTTGACTAAGTCCAGCACGTTGTCCCGGAAGCGGTTGCTAGACGCCTTCAACATCTCAGCGACTATTCCCGATTGGTCTTTGCATTTTCCGCATTTCATAACTTTCAGTGCTTCTTCAAGCTCTTCTGTTGTGAACTTTTGTGCTGCAGTGCACTCTCCGTTGTTGTTGGTGTCAGCTCTGTCTCGCCCCTTGAACACATTCTCATAGAAACGAGCAAATACTTCAGCAATGTCGTCCTTGTCGAACTGCTCCACCCCAGATTCGTCGCGCACGGATGCAATGAGCTGCTTCTTCTTCTTCGCGCCACCTGTTTGTGAAATTGCAGATATCCAACGAAATTGTGTCAATGTCTTGCTTATGTCCGCTTCCTTCTTATCCTTCAGCCTTGTCTGGATGAGCTTCTGGATCTTTTTGCTGATCTCGAGTCTTCGGGTCTTCTTCTGTTCAATGGTAATGGATTGGTTCCGTCGTAAGCCCCTTCGCTCAGCAATCAATGCCTGCAATTCTGCATCCTCGCTATTCGAGCTGCGTTGCCGAACCTTCTTCGGAAGCGCCTCTCCCCAAGCTAAAACCATGCATCGCTCCAACAACCCACCTTTATCCGATGTAGTACCTCCGTGCTCTGCATTTTCATCGACCTGTGAATCGAGTAGTTGCCTGTACACGGCCTTGCTCACAGCGCGGTCCCAATGCTTGCTATGTTTCTTCTCTGCCGGCTTCGTCGTGCACCTCAGCGCCAACTTCAGTTCAAGAGCCCGGTGGTCAGAACCCGTATCCAGCCAATCACAAACTCTGCAATATGTCATAAATGGTTGAAACGTGTGGTCCAAGAGTACGTAATCCAATTGCTTGTGCACGCCTGCATTCGAATACGTCCATAAATCTTCAGCGCCCGCCTCGGCGCAAGTGTTGGCAAGTAGGAGGTCGTGCTCCAAAGAGAAGTGACATAGCAACTCCCCACGCGCGTTTCGGAGTCGAATTGGATTGGGGCCCATTGCGTCGTTATCTTCGTATCCGCTTCTTGGCCCCACTTCTGCATTGAAGTTGCCAGCAACCGAATGTCGTATGCCCCTTTGCCAAGGTTCTGGATGAACTCGTCCAGAATAGCACGCACAGCATCCACAATATAGGCTTCGATCCTCGAGTGCGGCATGTAGACGCCAATGATCTGGAACAGCAAGCCACGAACACCAATCTCCAGAACTGCAACTCTATCGCATACTCCTTGGAATGATCTGTACGTCCATCTGCTGTGTAATAATATGCCGACGCCGTTTTTGCCCTTACTACCCCGCTTCCAAACCAAGTATGATTGCCATATGTCGTGAAGATCTCACTTTCCTCTTCTCTCCACGTTTCCGTAAATATGATAACGTCCCAATGTCTGCCACGAAGCTCAACAAGGACAGCTTACACTCGTTCTTCAAACTTCATGAAAAATTGCTGTTGAACGTAATTATGGTAATATTGATCTTTTCGGGTCCACTTGAAAAAGGCCGTGGTATAAGTACTGGTGAAGGTGCACGGTGTTGCTCCTCCTCGGGGCGGCTCCTACTCTCTGCTGCGGCCTCTGTCCCGCTTCCGCTTCCACTCCTCGATGTCCTCCTCCACCTCGTCCCTCACCTCCACGGCCACACCCTTCAAGAGCATTGTCGCGTCCGTCGATACCCACGCTACCTTGTTAAACGTTACTTTCACCACTCCTTTCTTCCAGACGATCTGAAAGACCAAGAGGGTCCCCAAACGGCCAACTCTTGCACCCCTCACTTCTCCGACCTCCCCCCGCCATCTACTACCTCGCCCTGCCTCCTTCGAGGTCCCCTCCTCAGCTTTTCTGGAACACCCCCTCCCAGCTTGTCGGATCTCGCCCCATCCGAAGTTTTCGGGCTTGGGCTTCCAGCGTTTTCGGGTTTCGCGCACTTCGGGATGCCAGATTTGGCGTTTCGGTGAGACTTCCAGGTCCAAGCTTCTTCCAGATCCACTACCCTCCCTCCTCCTGCTCCCCCCCCCCCCAGGCATGCCTGCGTCGTGAGAAATACATGGTGTTTTCGTTGTTGGAAAAATAATTCAAGCGTGACAAATCATGTTTGATAATAGTTTTGAATCTATCCGTATGGGCTTCGCCCCCTGCCGCCGCCCCCCTCTCTCGGATAATGGACAATACACACAGAACCGCGCCTGGACGGTGCATCGGCAGGAAGACTGGCAACGTGAAACACATGTGCATTAGAACTGGATTCGTGCAGACGCGCCCCCGCAGTGCCTCGGAAGCGTACGCTGGAATTCTTTGCCTCAGCGAAGCGCGAGGGTATGCT